AAGCACAGGCTGCATACCGAATTGCAGAACTGCACAGTTTCTACAGCACGGTTTTGCTAGACTGCACAGTGCCATGTAAGAATTACATGCCACGGTGTCATTAGGTGTAAATGGAACTGCATTATCGTTTACCTGATAAGGTTCTGCTACCTAAAATTATTTTAGAAAATCCACACCTGACTTTGCTGTACCCTTTACTATACTATGTCAACGGTAGCCACACTAAAGATCTAGGAGGCTATATCAGATCAGTCCTAAAATAGTGCTAGACGGACTGTGTCTGTATATGGCACATTTCTGCTCCTTCTGCCTCTACCTCAAACACTCCTGCCTTTACACTCTGACAGGGATGTGCCTAGCCATTTGCAAACAGAAGCACAGAGGTTTCACTCAGAAAAGCTACTTGCTGTTTTTTAATGCTCTAATTCATAAACATGCTAAAGATCACTTCTGATGACTTACATGAGGTATATCATAATTAATATATATCATAATAAAATCTACAATGTGAGGGGTGAGAGGGATACACTTAGCCTCCTGGCACTCAACACAATTGCAGCAGCAGGAAGAGTTAATTTTGGAAACTCCTGAGTAAAGCAACTGACACAGGAGAAGGCATTGCAAATGCATTTGCTGTTTTCACAGATACCTCTCTTAGGGTGCATAAGCAGGCAAAGGCTTTTGGATGTGCCAGCATGTCCCGTCAGCCGTTTGTTACAGAATGGAGGGTCTAGCAATCACGCCACAAACAGCTGCACAAATAGACAGCAATCTAGTAGCTTCAATTTTCTGTTTCATAGTGCTGTAGCAGTACTATTTTTACACAGCACTATTTTCTATTAAACAATCTACCTTTCTCCATAATAACATTGAACAATTAAATCTAGATTAAGAGTTAAAACAATGAAGACACAATTGTCTAAATAGCTGCAATATCTCTTGCACTATGAAGATAAACAAAGATTAAAAAACAGGTATTTTGAAACACTTGAGTAATTTCTTAAGCACTTCTTTCTAGGTATTTTATTGCTTTTGTAATTGGAGTCACAAAAATGGGGTAGAAAAGGAAATAATTTGTGGATTTTCACAAATCTCTTCCCTAGAATTCCAGTGGCTCTCTTCTCAAATTATGCAACACCTTCTCAAATTTTTGCGTATTTTAAAAATATGAAGTAATCTGCTTTGTTACTCTTTCTCGTTGAATGCAGTGGCACCATATTTCAAGACACAGCTCCACAGACTCTCCTTTATCAGCTGATTAGGAGCACATAATGTTTCTGGAGCAGGAGGTAAAAACAGAACTTACAGCCCCTTTACCTTTACCTTCACAGTTGAGTTATATCACTTTCTGCATAAAGCTCATATGGCTCACATGCACTGAAAATATTAACAGGAGAGGGAGGCACTTGATGCAACAAAGAAAAACATTAAATTAAATAAAACCTTTCCACTTTCCATCGCTTTGCTAAAACAAGTCTTCTAGCAGATGCTGATATTCTGAAGTGGTTGGCAGCTTGAAATGAGTTTATGGGAATCAGAGAGCAAAAATGTGTGGCTAGGAGACAATATTAAGCCTCCGTTGAGGTTCTTTGGGGAACATTCTTCTGATGTCCCAAGTGTCCACAATGGACTAGAGAAGATACAATCCCTACCACTGGAACATAAAATCACTTCAGCAGTGTATATAATAAAAAATCCAAGTGTCATATGGAACATGACGGCCAGGAACAGGACTTTTGTATTATCATCACAAAGCGATGACGTTCTTTCCAAGCGTATAGCCCATCTACAAAATCCAACCCATGCAGAGACCATTCAAGGGTTGGAAGCTCAGAGGAATGAGTCACTCCTAGGGAGTGACTGTGTGGGTTGGGATTTTAACTCTCATTGTTTCTCAGTGTACAAAATATACACAACATAAGCCAAATATATTGAACACTGCTGTAACGAACCTCTCTTGTTGATTGCTGTCTGAACAGGGCTTTAAAATAAAAGTTACAGTTATTTAACAATGTTTTGCAGCTCAGCAGGGGCAATTGACACTGATCTTGACTAAAGTAAAGTAGATTGATGAATGTAACTTTACTGGAATGGCTACTTATGTCATGTTCACTCCATAAGGGTCTAGTTCTGTCTGCAATACTGAAAGGTTTAGATCAATTATTGCCAAAGGCCCACACTGTATGCTGGTTACTTTCTGAAGCTAAAGAAAAAATGTTGTCCTCCACCTTAAAAATGTAAGTACAACTGTTCTTTAAAATAATGGAGATTTTATTGTGAAAATGGACGTCCATCAACACAAATCCATCATCCCTCATGTTCCTCATACCCACCACTAAGTCACTTAGCTATATTGCAGGATCAGAAGCCGTTTCTCAATACCATATATTGCCTCAGACTTTACAAGGCATATGCATGCTATCTGAGCTTAAAACAAATACCAGGGTAGGCATTTGAGCATGCAAAAATATCTAAGAAAAGGTTTAGACTCCTAAGCTTACATGATTCATAGATGGGTACATCAACCACTCCGGCTTTATTTTCTATAACAACTCTCAGAGAATTAAATATAGATCTAGAAGTCTGCAAGCATGAGCACACTAATTACTGATAGGCAAACTACGATGTAAATCTACATCATGCTTACAGTCACCAGTGAATGTAGGATAGCTTATCCTTAACTGAAAGAATAAACAGCCTCTTGCTTACCACGGGGTAAAAGAAATCCCAGAGCTAACTACTGCGACAGAAGTTACATATTGCAAAGGATCCTCACTGACCTTGCAGTAACTCATCTGAGCAGCCATATCCTACATCAAGTGTTGTTTTTCTGTACAATCTTGACCATTCGCTATAGTCCCAGATGAGTTTCCAGAGAAGGCAGGACTGGCCTCTCAGAACATTTGACAGCATAAGCTAATTGTGCCTACTGTGCAGAATATTTCTATGTTTTCAGGGCAGTATATAAGGAAGATGAATGCCAGTGTTATGTAACACATACCCTTGCTTCTTACCCAGTAATTACCGGGAGCAGTTATAGACTCATTTTACAGAGAATATGGTTTATATTTATATGAGATTAACTTGTCCTTAATCTTATTAAATTTAGAAATACGATGAAAAAGCCTGCACTACTACTTCTCAGACATGTTTGTAAAGTGCTTTAACATTTAGAGCACACTAAATGCTAAATGCTAAATATCTTTATGTCAGGCTAAGTGCTAATGGTGTACTAGGGAAAATGGTAGTGCTGTAACATTGTTAACGTTCAGAAACCAATGACTAAACAATTCTTGTTTCTTTCAGCATAGCACAGCTAAAAACAACTGGTAACACACAGACGCATCTAGCCCAGTATCTAGAGAATAAAGATAAGTTTTTTTAATTACTTCTGATTTCAAATTTCAGTACTCTGGAAAGACTTTCACACTCTCAGGTATTATTCAAAATTAGATGCCATATTCTAGGAGCACCAGGTAAACTTCAGCTACTGCTGTGCAGTACAAACAATAATGTGTTTTGCTTAATACTCCAGTGAAATACTGCTTACTCTACTTCAGATCGATTTGCGTTTTAGTGTGGGAATTCTACAAATGTGTTTTGACAGCCTGAAATATTGCTTTTCCCGCATGGACAAATGTCAGGAAAATTATCCATCTGCATTCAGAACGGCACCCAACTGCACTCCTGCCTCCAATAAGATGGTGCCTGATGTCATTCAGACAAAAGGATGCATTCATTTCTTTCCCAGGGTGAAGCATGAAGTATTTGTAAGTGACAACATATTTATCACTCTGCTAGTGCCAGTTTCATCCTCGTGTCCTACTATTTTCCTCAAACTGTTCAGGTATGCTGTTTTGAAATCTTACTCACTAAATGCTTGCATTCCATGCTGTTTAATCCATCCAAATATTACTGCATTTGACTGAGGAGTTTCCACAGGTTTTAAGTAAATGGAGGAAGTTCCATGTAATTATTTATTTATTTAGCCTCCCAGAGAACACGACTGCCCTTAACATGGATCGATAGTAATTTCTCAGTAAAAACCTAGGTTTCAACAGAATGCCCAGTCAGAAATAAGTGGGCATCTTCTGAAAGAATCTCCCTTACAGATGATTAAACTCAGTAAACAACTTGTTAAACAGATACTACCATGTTTACCTACCACAAAGCAAGAAAGCAAAAACTGAGAATCATCCCCAGGAACACAAAAGACACAATTACTCTTTTAATAATTGTAAAAGCAATAATATCATGTTTTGTACCTTTGACTACATATACTAAGTAAGTAATGGTGCACAGTAATCTGAATATCAAAGAAATACTGCAGATTTTTGCTGCTGCTTATGCCTGTTCAATGCAATTCTGATTTTTTGCATATGTCCCATTTCATCCCGTCATGGCAAATCATGTTTTGTCAAATAGCATTTTTTAATTCAGCTTAAGTCCAGTCACATGACACACATTTCAATTCACTTAGTATGAAAAAAAGCTCTCTGTAATTCTCGTGATTTTTAAATGTGAGCGGATGCATCAGACTACCCAGCAACTTGCGTGTCAGGTTTATTACATTTCAAGCATGTTTTCACTTAAGATCTTCATTAGTGATTTAAAATACTATTCCCCTTTGCTTTTAATTTACAACCCACAAACTACTGAAGTGTTGGTTTTCTGTTTTTTTGAGTGAAGTGATTGAGCTAATGCTAATGGAAATTATCAAGGCATACCACTGCAGTATTAGACACCCTTAAGTTTCCAAAAAGGCTGAGAAGTACTGCTGTGCCACTTATAGCCCGTTTTGTGAAAAGTAAAAGTTTTGCAAAAGAAAGTAGTCAAATTTTCCTTCTACCCTGCTGTGATTAAGCCTCGTTTCAGTTCCACACATGGGATAAAAAAAAATAAATATGCAAATTACGTTCTGTAAGTATGGCTATACATCCAGAAAGACAGAGAGTAAGGGAAAGGAGGGGGAAGAAGAACAGAAGAATAAACTGCTTTACCTGATACTGTACAACACTTTTCCAGTCTTAGAAATCCTCAGTAACTTGTTGTCTGTTGTGACATCATGGAAGTTTGCGCCTTTCTCATTGGCAAAGAATAAATCTGGTTTCCAAATAGAGTCCAACATAGATGGATCCAGATCCAGGGAATCATCAGGATATTCACTGTAAGCCAGACGTGAGTCGTTCCACTGCTGTCTCAAAAAAATGTTCACTCTGTAGTCCTACAGAAATGCCATGTAAAAAGGTTACTAAGCCACTTACCAGAATTAAAAGCCCACTTTACCTTTGTCTATGCTCTTAGGCTTCATATAGTGCCAGTGCTATAGCAAACATTTGTGTTATCCTTTGAATGTAAGAGTTGTCATTTGAAAATAAAGCAGTGTAAATACCAAACAAACGCAACTGGTACATTTTCCACATCCAATTTACTTCTGTAATGAGGAAAATATTAACTGAAACCTGAAACATTAAATGTAACCCTCTTTTAAATGTTACGGATTAACACAGAGGTACTTAGAAAATCAAAAAGCATTGCTGTTAGCTATATACCATTTCAACAAAATTCTATAAAACTACTAATTTAAATAAATTGCTTGCAATATGTAAATCAATTATTTCTAATGTACTCATGAATACTTGCTAATACCAATAAAACCAGATTTGTACCGAAGAAATTAAATCAGCACTTCTTATTTACTGTTTGTGTCCTTTTTCTGTCTACCGTATGCTTTTCTCTGTATGTTCCTCCATTCACTCCTCTCTCTCTGCATCCCATTAAAATTGTTCTAATTGCATTCTTCTGCTCAGTGGTCTGTTAGTCACAACTGGGAAGGGAGTAATTATTTAGAGGTTCATTTAGAACCAGCATTAACACTGTGTCAAGAACTGCCTATTAAAAGGGAGTGTGAAAAGAGCTTTTAGGTCTAATCCAAAAATCCACTAGAGGCATTGGAAAAATGCTCATGCTTGCTCTGCTTATCCTGAATTTCCATGGTCAGCAAACAAGAGCTTCACCTTCCCCAGCTTCCCCTGCTATTATAGTGTATTTACTTAAATTACTAAATTTCCTAGCCAGTGAATGGGCTCTTAGAAATACACCTACTCTTCATCTAAAAGGGAAATATTTAAGAGTACTTATACAGATGATATTATCTGAAGGAATATGGTAGCAAAACAATTTTGTCCACTGTACAGCCCCGTTGTATTTAGGATTTGTTCTGTGGCATTAAAATGGCAGCGTTGTACTTTTTACTTGGAAAATGTATGAGTTGTCGTGTGTTTAGTTAGTACACTGAACTGCATATTCTAAAGAATTTATCATCTTTGAAAAGTAAGTAAATATTATCGCTCTGACTAAAGATGCAGTAAACTGCCTGCCCAATATGCAAACTCTTTTGAATAAGCCCCTCCAAGCATCAGAATTTCCCACCGTTCGTTTAGTAGGTTCATGATGAAATGTTCTGCTGCCTAGACAGAATATTTCCAGCAATTCCATCATACAAACTGATGCAGTGTTTGAAACCTATGGGATGATGTTTCATCATCCTAGCAGGAACATGTTTTTGCTGCTTTCTTTATAATTTTTGTTTTTCTGGTAGGTCAAAACATGAGTAGCTACTAATCACAGAAAGACAGACCTAGCAATGATCTCAAGAATAATCCTATATCTATTTTTCATAACCCCTTTTTTTGCTGTGGGGTGGTTTCATACGGTTTAAGATCAAATAGCTGCTTTGAGTTCTGAAGTTATAAAGTATCTTCACATTTTGTGAAGATACATCAGTCCTAAAAATTCATTTCCTTGCTTCCCAGTTTTAGAAAAAGAGTTTGTCTTGTAAGTGTATGTGGGACAGTTTCAGTTATAAAGCTAGGAAAACAATTTTAATTCTATAGAAAAGAAGGCTGGAGCTGTAATCAGAGATCGCTGATAGAATAAATTTACTATAACTCGTTGTGCAACTGCCTTTTATTTTTCTTTGAAATAGGAAATAGGGGTTTTTCCTTTCATGCCATAGAAATCATAAACCAGTCAAATCACCAAATTCTTTAGAAAGATCTACAAATAAATGTGCTTTCATGAACTTCAGTAGTTAGTGATTTATGTAACAAAAAATCAGTCCGAAAAATCCTTGTTCAAAGAGCTTGCATATGATATATATTATACCAAAAGCACAAATAATGTCAATAGGGTTACACTCTCTTCTCAACATATATCTTTATAAATATATTAGACCCATCACATTGATTAATTTAGAAATGCCTTCTCCCTGCACACATTGTTGTTAGAAGCGAAATAGCACTGCAGCTTGTATCTGATGGGCTTTGTTTATAGGCTTGATAACAAAAAAATTGAAATTGTAATACAACATGAACTTTTTAAAGCCATCCTTACTTTTTTCTCCTCTGCTTGTGGTATAAGCTGCTAAGAGGAATGTATATTTACACCATGAGGCATAATCATGTGTAAAATTTTGAGTTTACTTTTTCCTGCGCTAACATTGTAACTATCTTCCAAAAAAAAAAGACCTTCTAAGAATGATATCACAACATGGAGCTCAGGCAGACTGCTGTGAGGATTATGCGAGTTCCTTCAGGTGGATGTGGGTGGATTGTAGTACCGTACTCCTACACTACCATGAGTACACCTGCTTCACAAATTCTTTCTGACAGAGTCACTGTTCTAAATGAGAAGTACGGACCTAAAGCTTCAATCTCGTTTGCAGCACTGGTACTGGCAATAGCTCAAGGCAACTCATATGAACTATTTTCCTCTGTTCTCAAGCCATGAAATCAAGGTAATACTAACACTCCCAAGGACTGTTTGTCTGATTAGCTTTATTAGATTTATCTGAAGATTTAGGACTTAATCCACAGATATACTGAGTTTGTATTACAGAAATCTAGAGAGAAATATCTTTCCATTCCCCTCAAACTGGGCAAAGTCAGGGATCTCAGCTCTGTGGCCACCAAATTAACTGAGAGCGAAGTTCTGGGTCCCTGTAGCTGCAGGCAGCAGGGCTGTGGGAGCCCTCTTTCCTCCTCAGTGCTGTTTTCTACCAGTGAACTGACTCCCATCTTTTTCCTCCCACCTTCTCCAATGGCTTTAATCACCTGGGTGTTGAGTCAGATGACCGAGTCAAACAGCAGACTTAGCTGGCCCTACATGCATAGCAGAGGCTTACCAGAGAAACAGCACCCTTTCTGAACCCTAAATATGAATACTGACTGAAAAAGAGTGGTTTAATCATCTATTGCAAGGTCATGCAACAGAAAAGTAGTTGGTCACCCATGTACCTAAGTATGCAAGGTGGCCCCAATGACTTCATTGCGACTGTCTTATATAGTTAAAACTATATACTTAAGTTACTGAATCAGAATCTAGCAAGCTGATTTATAAAATGTTTTTTTTTCCAGTGGGAAGATACAAGCAGGCAGCCAGCCACAGCAAAGCTCTATTGCCCCTGAAGTTTTAAAAAGAATCACAAAATTTTCTGCTAACTTGAGTACCTAAAACACAACTACAGTTTAGTCCATTTATCCCAGTAGAGAACTTGCTGCTTTGTGTCAGTCACTGATTATAGGTCATAACAACAATAACAATGTCCTCACAGTTAGTCATTTCTATAATTAACAATTAGATCGTCAATGCACAAACTCCTCTTAGCTTCTCCTACAGCTGATAACTGAAAAATCCTGGTCATTAGCAACACTGAACATCTGAATTCTTTGGGACTTTGCCCAGCCTGATGTAGATTTATCATCTGTGATATGCAACCACAGTTATGCTGTACAGTGAATTTTCTGCTGAATGCTGCATGTGTGAATGCTTCCAAAAATAGATACAGAGTTTACTGGCTTATGGGATAACTATTTTATTCAGGAATAGATTTTTCTCTTTCTTTGCAAATTAGGGGTTTAATGAAAAACAGGTGGATCAATGAAGAAAATTTCTTGACTCTGATCTGGCCTTTTTTACTATTTTTATTTTGGTATAATATACATCATTCTAACATGTAGGAAAAGTGTTTATTTTGGAGCAAAATAATCGACTTCGATACTGTTGCATGGGTGCACTGTAGTGCAGAAAGATTAGTATAGATGCCTGTTTTTCCTAACTCGTTGAGGAAAACTTGCAACAAAACTCATGAAGACTGTGGAATTCATCTATCAGCACAAAATCCTGCTTTAATTCTCACAGAAGAATTTTAGTTTTTAGGAAAATACATTGGGCATAGGAATTGTGCTGGCCTTTCACAAAGGGATGAATTTAACCCAAGTGTTGGTCCCAATGAAAGAACCGAAGCTACTTCTGCTAATGTTATAGAGAATACGGCTTACTGAATTTGGTAGGACTGGGACATTAATCCTGTTTGCCATGTTCATTTCTCCCCCTGAGAGCAAAAGAAGTTTTCATCTCCCAGAGTTTCCAATAAGCTACTGTAGCTCTTCCAGGTTGTATTCTGAAAATGTCCCTTCAGTACATATATAGGGTTTCACTAAGTATTCCTGTACTCTGAGACAGGAATGTCTCTTTTCGACTTACAATCCAATGTTTTAAAGGAATCTTTTAGTTTCATGTCATAGCCATCAAGAGAATGTTATAGACAAAAATGAAACCCAGGAGTCAAACAGAACTCATTATTTGTCACAAAGGATGCCAACATTTTACCATAAGATTGCATCTAGTTCAGAAGAAGCAAAGTAGGTGGAACAGTAACTGATGTTTGCCTCTCAGAGCAGTTTTAAAACATCCTAAAACTAGTCATACTAGTCATTAAAGAAGTGACAGCATTAAGAAAATCAATACCAAATCATTGAACAGCATTTAAGAGAATTCTCCACAGTTTTGGCAAATATTGTGAACCAAGCCAAATAAGAAAGCCAACAGTCTTTGTTTTCAGCTACTTGAATGTTTAGCTGTTTTCAGCAGAATGTGTTAATGAACATTGGAAAGGTACACATTAACATATTTGATAGACGGTAAAATGCAATGAGGGGATTTAATCAAAGCAATGAAGGAGTCTAATTAATGCAATCAGCATTAGGTCGTGCAAATATTTTCATTGAATGCCATCTTGTAAAGCCAGTGACGTGCAGGATTTCTGCTGCTTAAAGCTATGCTGAGCTCTCTACGAGCTAAGACAGACAACAGACACGGCTGGGGGAAAAAAGGCTACACTCATCTTTTCACCACTCTTTAAATGCAGAAAATAAAATTAAGCTTTCCAAAAATCGGAAAATTATGTCTGTTGAATATTATAAATTACATCAAAATATATTTTTTCAGTCATTTTTAACTCGAATTTATTTTTCTCACTAAGATGATTTTAAAAGACTACAGATATATACACATTAAGAAGTTGTTTGTTTACTTCATAGCTGTATATTTTACAGCTGTCTTTCCTACATTATCTAAGAAAATAACTTGTCCTAATAACGACTTACCTTTTATCTTTGGAAAACGTTAAGTTATACGATTTTTTAAAATAAAATGATTAAGAAGCACAGGACTTGTGTTCCTTGCACATCTCTTTCTAAAATGGCAGTATCAGTTAAGATTATATTTAAATTAAATATTTAAATATTAAATTAAATACTTAAATTAGGCTAAATAGTTACTCTTCCTTCAGAATGCAAAGATCACGTGGCAATATCTATCCCGTGATGTAAAGAATCAGCCCTTGGTATACCACAAGTCCTTTTATAGGTAGCAAGTTCATTGGTTATTACCAAGAGTTCAGGCCTGACTAAAGGTGCTAAGCACCTTCATTGCCTCTGGCTTCAGCAAACACAGAAAGACTTCGGCACTGTATAGAAGTCCTCATAAAACAGAGCAGTGAAATCTCTTTGCAATTGCTTCATAAGTGTCCACAGCTCCTTTCCTGAGGCTATGCACGTAACTCTCACAAAATGAGGCATATTCCATGCAGACTTGAAGAATCCAAAACCAAACTGGAATGTGCCACTAGTCTCCTTTTAGAATGTGTTTAACCCGCTTCTTCTACACAAACACCTGGTAGTTATCGTTGCTTTATCACATTACTATAAGAAAGCCCCCAAAAACCTCTCTGAGGATTAACACCAGCTGCCAGGTGTATGCATGCTTGAATAAGTAATTGGGTTTTTTGCTTCATTGTTTGAAACAGATAATTTAAAAACTCAGCATTCTTTCAAATGATTTTTCCCTTTTTCTTAGCAAAATTTAAAGAAAAACGAAAAATTGTTTCCAGACCTTTCCAAAAAATCAGTTAGATTAAAATGTATTTCCATTTTTTATCTCTGACTTCTTCAGTCTTAAAATTTAGCAATTTTTAAAACTAAAATCTGATATCAAAATAAATTGAAACATTTAAATTTTTAAATATCACAATGGAAACCCTGATTTTGCTATTTTGGCACTTTTTTGGCTGAGAGTGAACTTTGAATTTAGTTAAAATACACATTTCAATTCCCTGGAATCCCATAATTCCCTAATATCAGTTTACCCTTCAAATTTCCTTGGTCTCCTTTGGCCAAAGTTATGCATTCACTTCAGTTCCTGATGTGACTACAATTCGTACAGAAATAGTTGAGTCAGTTTTAAATAAGAGAGTTCAGTTATCTACATCAGCATAGCCTGAGAAGTCTATAATTCAGCATGCGGTGCAAAATGCACACAAGATGCCGAATAAGTACTAGGCAGGCAGTCCCAAAGCTGAACTCCACTATTCTGCATCTTCAATGCTAACAAGACTGGGAAAGCTCCCTTGGGCTCTCTCTGTTTGCTGCCATCACAGTCACTACAGACTGTGGTACAGTCACTACAGATATACCTTAAGGCTTGATAATTAAGTTTGATAACTTGCATATCTCTTTATATTGCTATTTTATATTTCTTTGATTTTAATTCAGCTGGTAGATTTTCAGTAACTTAAGAACTCAGTGTCCCCATATCTACAGCTTCTCTGTTCTACATCACATCCCACTCCTTCACAAGATGGCTTCAATGGCCAGTCCCACTCACCATTGTAGTTTCTGCTATTGAACCAAAGCTGTTGATAAATATGTTGCAGGTAACATTTACAGGAGGACCTGCAAGTTGAACAATAAATAGAAAAATTGACAGGTTGCGTTCATGACATGTATTAAGTATTGTTGTTTTCTTGCCAGTGGCATCATAGCACTTACCATTGTGGTTTCTGTGACTGATCCAAAACTGTTGATAAAAATATTGCAAGTAACGTTTACTGGAGGACCTGTGGAATGCAATAAAAATGTTGCAATATACATTGAAACAAAAGTACAGATCCCTCAGCCTCCGTACAATCTGGTACAGATGTGGCTGGAAACAAGTAGAAAGTGAGTTTTCCCCCTCCCAAAAATGTAAATGTCTACCAAAAGGAAAATATTATCAATACTAATTTAATTATCCTAGTTTCAGTAACAGTTGTAGCTTCAGTAAAAGTTTCATATAAATATACAGAACCATGTCCTTCTTTTAAGGATTTGCGAGAAGTGCCTTCCTGCCTTCCTTCTCAACTTTACAATTGAAAGACTCCCTCTCCACGCCTATGCTGTTCTGTATGCAATGGTATGCCACCGAGTACGCAGCAAGGGCCACTTTTCACATTGACTCCAGTCCACTGAAAACAGGGCTTAGACAAGCAGATCTCTCTGCACCTGGTATGGAAATGTCTGCCTTGCCATAACAAAATATTTTACTGCTGTCTGTTCTGACTTGACACAGCTTTCGTTAGACGGCTATACATAATCTCTTCCCTCCCACCCACTTTCCTGCTATTTAGCAGTCACCGAAGTGTAGCACAATGAATAGGGGCATAATATTTAATTTGTTATCATTAGCCTGCTAGTTTTTCAGATGTGATGAAGTAAACAAGGATTTTCAACTGAATCAAAAATCAGCGAATATAGATTAATACTAAATGACTGATTTTCAGTGATTCAAAAGTTGATACAAGCATTTAATCTCAAATACCCTTTTTTCTTCTCTTTTCTCATTACTATTTTTAATTATGTAAGTTTTGTTCTATTTCCAAAAAACCCAAGATATAGAACATAAATGCCTATGGGAAGTTTCATTACTGCATCTGAAATTGCTTTACAAAGAATAGAAATATTGCTACTTCTTTTTTAAAAAATTAGGAAGATGAAGTAATGTGCCCAGAGGCTCCCAGAACAGTACAGTGTCAACTTCCTGAGTGTTAGGCCACACACACATTTCAGGAGACAAACTTGATCTGCTTCAGAAAGAAAATCCACAACAGTTATGTATTTTAAGGCTATTAAAATTCAGTAAAATTTGTTGTTCAAGTCTGTTTTTGTAACAATTGTTTTTAAAATAGACTTCCTTTTCAGCTTGTAAAATATGTTTTATCTTTCAAAACTCAAATTATGGCAAATCAAACAGTCTGCTATTTTCCTTTGAAAGAGACATATTTTTTATTTTTTCCTAAACCCCAGTATAGTTTAGTAAGCATCCCAAATATTTTTTTCCTTGATGATATTTCTACCAGCTAGGGAGCTTGGCTAGCATCTTTCTTCAAATCTAAGTAATTAGAATTGCAAAGTCATTCCGGCTGCAAGCTCCCTCTGGATATCATTGAATCTAACCCACCTGCTTAAAGCAGGGTCAGCTAGAATAGGTTGCTCAGGACCATGTCCAGTCAGGTTTTGAATATCTCCAAAGATGCAGGCTCCACAAACTCTCCAGGCAGCCTGCTCCAGTGTTCAATCACCCTTACAGTAAAAAATTTGTTACTTATGTTTATGTGGAATTTACGGTATTTCAGTTTGTGCATCTTATCCTGTCACCAGCACCACTGAGAAGAGTCTGGCCCCATCCTATTTACATCATCCCATCAGATATCTATAAAATTTGATAAGATCACCCTAAACCTTCCTTTCTCCAGGCTGAACAGTCCAAGCTCTCTCAGTTTCTCCTTGTACGTCATACTCTCCAGTCCATTAATCACTTTCATGGCCGTTTACTGAACTTGCTCCAGTAGGTCCATGCCTTTGCTGTACTCGGAAGCCCAGACCTGGACACAGTACTCCAGATGTGGCCTCATCAGGGCTGAGTAGAGAGGAAGAATTCCCTTCCTTGACCTGCTGGCAATGCTCTGCCTAAGGCAGCCCAGAATGCCATTGGCCTTCTTTGCCACAGGGGCACATTGCCAGCCCAGGACCCCCAGGTCCTTTTCAGCAATGCTGCTTTCCAGCAGGTCAGCCCAAGCCTGTACCAGTGCACGGGGTTATTTCTCGCTAGGTGCAGAACTTGGCATTTCCCTTTTTTGAACTTCACGAGGTTTCTGTCTGCCCATTTCTCCAGTCTGTTTGTCCATTCAATTTCTCCTCCGAATGGCTGTGCAACCATCTGGTGTATCAACCACTTTTCACATGTTTTGTATCATCTGCAAACTTACTGAGGGTGCACACTGTCCCATTGCCCAGGTCACTAATGAAGATCTTAAACAGCATTTACCTCAGAATCAACCCCTAGAGTAAGCCATTAGTGACTAGCTTCCAGCTGGACTTCATGCCACTGATCACAATCCTTTAAGCTCAGCAGTTCAGCCAGTTTTCAGCCTAACTCACTGCCTATTTATATAGCCTATAGTTATTCAGTTTGTCCATGAGGACGTTATGGGAGTCAGTGCCAAAAGCCTTACTACAGTTGAGATAAGCAACATTCACTCCTCTCTCTGAGAGGATCCTCATTCACGAAGCCAGTTGTTTCATTGTAGAAGGCTATCAATCAGGTTGATTAAGCATGATTTCCCTTTCATAAATCCATAATGACTACTCCTAATTTCCTTCTTGTCCTTAATAAGTTTGGAAATGGTTTCCAGTATTATTTGCTCCATCACCTTCCCAGGGATCAAGGTAAGGCTGATTGGCCTATTGTTCCCTATTGCTTTCCTGTTATTCTTGAAGGTATAGGTGACTCTTTCTTTCTTCTGGTCCCCAGGAGCCCCTTCTCCCAATTACTCTGATTTTTCAGAGATGATTGAGAGTGGCCTTGCAACAACACTGGCCAACTCCCTCTGTTCTCATGGGCAAATCCCATCAGGGCCCATGGACTTGAACGCTCTCAAGTCAAAATGCCTCCAGCGGGTGCATACAGCCGGAGACAGCATGGAACATGGCTATGGAGGATCCTCTTGCACCTCTCCTGGGAAGCTTCCATGCTTGACTGGCTCTCTGAAATGCCTGTATACCAATGCGCGCAGCATGGGGAATAAACAGGAAGAGTTAGAGATCTGTGTGTGGTCGCAGGGCCATGATCTCATTGCAGTTCCAGAGACATGGTGGGATAGCTCACATGACTGGGATGCTGTCATGGATGGCTATGTGCTTTTTAGGAAAGACAGGCCAGGAAGGCGAGGTGGTGGAGTTGCTCTTTATGTGAGGGAGCAACTAGAATGTGTGGAGCTCTGCCTCGGGGTGGATGAAGAGCAAGGTGAGAGCCTATGGGTAAGGATTAAAGGGCAGGCTGACATGGGTGACACTGTTGTGGGGGTTTACTACAGGCCACCTGATCAGGAAGAAGCCGTCGATGAGGCCTTCTACAGACAGCTGGAGACAGCTGGAATTAGCCTCACGCTCACAGGCCCTGGTTCTCATGGGAGACTTCAACCACCCTGACATCTGTTGGCAAGACAGCACAGCTAGGCACAAACAGTCCAAGAGGTTCCTG